TTAGAACTTTTGAGGTTAAACTATAGACCACTGCCAATCCTTTTGTTGGACCTTTAATCTAGCTTTTCATCTCTAATTAGAAGCCATCCCTGTTATTGGACATTTAATCTGGCCTTTTATCTGCCAACAAATTCGAATGTTAAGGTCATGTCTGCTGCATGTTGGTTATATCTTTCACCAATCACTTGGTTTTCTTGTTATGCAGCATACTCCTTTTGTTGCCATTTTGGTGGAAATTTTCTTAACAAACTTGTATATTTTCAGAATTTTCAGAGTCACTACAAGAAATGGGTGAATGTATTCTTGAAAAGACATCATTGAGTGATGACGAAGAAACTGGTAAGAACTAAGAAGTGCTATCATGATATTTATTTTGGATTATGGAAATATATATTCTTTTAAACTTTCTTCAACACGAGTTAGGAAGAAGATCTAATGGTCATTTAGCTCTTTGTAATTGAATTCAATATTTTCTTAAGTGAAGGTAATGTTCGTAGGATGCAATTTGCAGTTTGGTCTGTTTCAATGTCCAAAATAGATGCAATGCACACTTAGTCATTTATTTTTAATTTGATCTCCATGTTGAATTATTTATTTTACTATACAGGTAAAGTGTTGCTGATGCTGGGCAAAGTGCAGTTTCGGCTCCACAAACTTTTAGATAGTTATGTGAGTACTCAGACTTGTGTGAATCATTTTAGATTTTTTTACATTTAAATTTTCCCTTCTAATAATTTGTTGCTTTCTGTTTCCAGCGCTCACATATTAACCAGACAATCACAGTCCCTTCAGATTCCCTCATCAATGAACTAAACGTTGTTGAGGTTTGTCTATGTAAACCTCAATTGTTTTTACATAATGAGCTTGTTGTTGGCTTGAGGTGCAAAAACCTTTCTTCTGTTTCTTCCATTTTCAGTTTTTAGTTTGCTTTACTTCTCCATTATCTTGAACTTTTTCTTCAGCAGTTATGGTTTTTCTTTTGTGCAGGACATGAAGAGACAGTGTGATGAAAAAAGGTGCAAACTAGTGTCATCACTCTCATGTGTAGTATTATCTACTTAGATTTATTCTTACTCTGGCTTATGGATCTCCAGAGAATCATATGATCAATTGTTCAAAAAGTATACAGAGAAGGGAAATCTAAGAGCAGCCAAAGGGGAGTGTTTTTCTTCTCACCAACTGCAAGCAGCTTATGATGAATATGATGAGGGAGCAAATGTCTTTGTATTGCGCATGAAGTCCCTCCGACAAGGACAATCCCGCAGTCTTCTAACTCAAGCTGCTAGGCACCATGCAGCTCAGGTTCCTTTTTTATGTTAAATTACGTACTTTCCTTTCTTTCAGGCTTCAGTATCATGGAAAAAATAAATTTGTTGCACCTTTCATGTTGGATGATAATTAAAATGCTTATTTTTTTCTTCCTAGTAGATGTCGTTCTTCAGGAAGGCTCTCAAATATCTTGAGGAGATTGAGCCACATGTCAAATTGGTCACTGAACAGCAATATATTGATTACCCCTTTAGTGGGGTTGAAGATGATGAGGAGGAGGATGATGCTGTAAATGATGGTGACCATGATTCTAAAGATGACTCTGAATCACATGATGGTGAATTAAGTTTTGACCATGGTCAGAATGAACTGGAATATGTATCAGCCAACTCAATGGAGGTGAGACTTTTGTCTAGCTTTTTACTGACGTGGAACAAGTTTTAGTAGTAGAATTAGAAACCAGTGCTAATAAATAATCCAAAGGAACATTTGATTTAGGAAACTGGACTTGATGCCGATATTTATAAGTTATATTGTTATAACATGGATTTTTGGTAAATGCTGTTGCTTGCAAGGCATTGATGATGGCTGAACAGTTCTTGTAGTTGGTGTCTAGGGGTTGTTTATACCATGAAACAATGGAGAAGGGCTATTACTTATAAATGTGAGAGAATCTGAGATCTGCATCAGGGAATGAAGCCGATCTAAGTTCCATTTATTTATTTATTTTTATGTCAGCATGAGCTTAGTTTCCCTAGGAAGTACTGAAAATTGGTTTTTAAGCTCTCTGCCCCTCTTGGTGTGTTTAGGGAGAGTGGGATGCTGAATACCAACATACAAGTCTCTACATATTAAGTAGTGAGATGGATTTAGTATGAAAATTTTGCTTTTGGGTTCCATTATGGAGAATAACAACATTTGAGACTTTTAATTTTTTTTGGGCAAAATTTTTCTTCGTTATCTTGATTGATTGCTAAAAGATAGAATATTTTTGCAGTTGGATAACACGGATGTCACATTCCCTCAAGTTGCTAAACCTGATTTAGCAAAGGTAAAGAAATTTTCCAATCTTTTCATTTGCTCAATATACACTCATGCTCTTTCTTCTTTATGGTTGAAGAGATTTGTTAATTTAATTTACCACCTAGATTTAATCTAGCTAATGGCAGTAGCAGAATCCATATTTGCATGCTATTTCATGTTTGTAGGAAGTTTCTTGAAATAAATTGGTGTCTAGTAGGAAATGAATCTAAATTTGATTATACCTCTTGGTCTAATTTGTTTGTTTGTTTGTTGTTGTTGTTGTTGGTTTTTGTTTTTGTTTTTGTTTTTTGTTTTGTTTTTTTAAGCATTAACTGCTAGTGCAATCGACATTCCTTTTTGTTTCAAGTATCAGCAGATCTCTAACACAGCCTTACTATGTTTTGGACTTCAAATTTTTTCCCCTATGAACATCTACAGGAGAATTTAGAAAGAAATATTGGTGGTACCCCTTTTGCCTTCCGCAGAGAGACTCGTGTAAGCAGCAAATCTGCACCACTCCATACTGAATTGAAACATGATCCAACTGAACGGGCTATACCAATTAGTTCTTCACCCGCATACAAGATTCATTCTTACGTGTTGCCCACACCAGTCAAGACAGAGACTTCAGTTTCAGTGAAATCAAATCTTGAAGCTCCACAAACAAGGCAACCAAACCTGAGAAGTAAAGCTAACTTGTGGCATTCGTCTCCTTTGGATAAGAACAAGTATGAAAAACCTGGGCCAGCTGAGAAGTTATCTGGGCCTATGATCTTTAATGCACAACCAATTCTCAGACAGGGTGACAATAATCCAAAACCCAGCAGATTGTCTCCTCCATTGTCAGGACGCTCATCACCACAGCTTGATCCGTCTGCACACTCATCACCACAGCTTGATCCATCTGCAGCATCTGATGCTAAAAAGGCCAAAAGGCAAGCCTTTTCTGGTCCATTGATTGGAAAGCCAGGGCCAAACAATCCCCATTTTTCTGCCAGTGGTTCAGTGGTCTTTCAAGGGTTCCCTCAATTTTCTGGGCCTCTCTTGCGTACTCCTTTATCCCAATCTTCATCAACTCCAAAACTGGGCTCACATGCTTCTCCTTCTTGCATTTCAACACCTAAAATTAGTGAGCTACATGAATTGCCTAGGCCTCCAGCCCATTTGCCCTCCACGAGACCCTTACGTGGCATTGTTCATTCAGGGCCTTTGGTGTCTAGGGGTCCAGGACCTTCTCCTACAAATAAAGCCTCAGTGTCTCCAGTTGCATCTACACTTCCAATGCCACCTCCAGTTCTCCCTCGTAGTTATTCCATACCATCCAGTAGCCAAATAGAAACAGCACATGTATCTAAGCCATCAAAAGATTTTGCTTCACCTCCTTTGACTCCAGTAGCCATATCGAATTCTGTAGAGCCTTCACCCCCTGCTACCTGATCTTTCATAACAAATGAAGGTAACTAACAAAATCACTGGTGTTTTGTATAAAATTTTTCCAAAAAAAAAAAACCAAATGTTTATTAAGTATCATGTAGTTAAGAAAATTTGTTGGTGATCAAATTGATTTTTACTTAAACTTGAGCATTTACATTTCTAATTTGATAGCATTACCTAGGAGGCTACAAGTTCTTGTTATCTATCCAACTGTGCCTAGTGTACTTAGCACACCATGGATGTTCTAATGAAATTCCATTTTTTACCCTGTATTTACCTTCTTACTCTGTGAGCATCTGTGATTCTATGGGGATTGGGAAGTGGGGCGTGGGGCATTGCTCAGTGTTTCTTGTCTTTGTATCATACAAAAATATATCTGCATAGTGATACAACTCTCTCTATTTGCTTGTACCAAAAAAAAATAATGGCACTTATTATTCCTTTTGAACTGCTTTCCTCTGACTTTATGACTTTATGTGTATTCTTGCAGGGGTGCATTCTGTAAGAAATGATGCTCATGTAGGGTCAATTTTTCTCTGTGCTTGCTGGGTACAGGTGCAATTGTGAAAATCTGTATATACGTTGTGTTTACTAGTTATATCCATTTTGTTTGTCTTCTCTCTTGCTTTTCATAGCTGAATTACAGGTGTAAAGGCATCAAAATTATACGCCAACATTAGAAAAATTTTGCAATCTACTATGAATTTCAATCATTAATTTCATTTGCTTCTGTCATCTTCCTTCCCCTTTTTATCCAAGCTGTGTTTACTAATTGGAAAAGTTCTCCATTGTTTAGAGAAAGGAGAATTGGAGTAAAAAGCAGCCTAAGGTTTGATGCAACTTAAGTCCTTTATGATTCCTCTTAACTGTTAAATTGCCAGTGTTATGATCTCTATACCGTTTTAGTATATCTACATTTTTTGATGAGAGAAACCTATTTCCACTATTTGAGAGTCTGTACTAGGTAAATATCGCTCTTGTGTAATAGTCTTCAAACCATATAAGAGAAGTACACCCCACTAGAAAGATCATGTGCACAAGTTCGATCGAGAAAATGTTAACTATAATTAAACTTATGATATTCAGGTACGAAAATTATGCTCTACCCAGGTAACAGTTACTGTTTGTTGATTGGGTGCAAAGAACATTTTGGATGCTTGAGAAAACCTCTTTTTTTTTTTTTTTTTTTTTTTTTTTTTTTTTTTTTTTTTTTTTTATAGCTTCATTAGCAGAAGCATATATTAGCATATACTATGTTACAGCAGATTGTTTTTCCTAATATTAGTTTGACTTGGCTTCTAATCTGATCTTCAGTTGCATCCTCCAACGTCGTATCTCACAAAACCCACCAGTTCAGGCCCTTCTAACCTTGGATTGTTCAGAAAGCTGGTGTCCAACAGGAAAACAAAAGTGTCAAATAAATTGCAGAAAAACTGCTATAAACCCAGATTATGTTCAAAGTCCTGCAGATTGTTGAATCACCTTTCAGAGTTAAACTTTGAGAAAGAACCCGTTGTTGGAAACGTACCACACAAGTCATTACTCGACAAGTCCCTGCCACACAAGACCGACAACGTTATGCCTACCGAGTCTTTAAAATGGATTCGTTGTAAGAGTGAGAGAACTTACAGAATCTTGAGATTTGCAAGCTTGGTAAGTTGTCTTGGTATTCTTCCAGTTAGGGTGTTGCCGTTCAGCCGCCTGGAAAGAAATATGTAACATTAAGTGTGTGGCAACCACCAAGGGTGTGACAAATTATGAAGGGGACCATAGTATTTACTTCTTTTAACTTACATGAAGCGCAGGTTGGAGAGTTTGGAGAGGGAAGGAGGGATGGTGCCAGTGAGGTTATTATGGTAAAGATCAAGGCTCACAAGACTCTTGAGCCCACCAAACTCTTCTGGAATGGGTCCTTCCAAGTTGTTCATGTATAGTTCCCTGTCACCATTACCACATTATCAGGGAAACCCACCCACCATATTTACTGATCCGAATCGAAATTTATGTTCCGTCTTAATAAAAATTATGGTCGACTAGGATGAGACTTGAACCTGAAACCTTCCTAACAGTCTCTTAAAAGAAGAAAGTGAACTCACAGATACTGAAGATGCTCCAGCTTCCCCAACTCCGGTACCAGATTCCCCGACAGCTTTGCGTTTCCCAGATCACTGTCACCAGCTATTCACTTTTTAATACCCAATTCCATAAATGTACATGGTACTACTAACCATATTATTGTATGAATATTTTGTCTACTTTGACAAGTTTTCGAACAAACTCTGGTACGTCAAAGAAGTGTGAACACGTACAATGGACCCACCCCAGATGCCAGAACCATATTTTATTTTACGATATTCTGTGCTTTGTGAAGTTGTACCTTATGCTTAACAAGTTGTACTATTTTCTTATACACCGTTAAGTCGTTAACAAAAACCACAGGACACATTTTTACAAAACATATAGCATTATAAACATATTATTGAATGCGTATTTTGTTGGTTTTAACAAGTTTTCAAACAGTGTTTTGCAGAGTTGTACCTTATGCTTAACAAGTTGTACTTCTTTCCTATATACAGTTAACAATCCACAATGTACAGTTTTACAAAACATACGACATTATTAACATATTATTGTATGAATGTTTTGATAGTTTGTTAACAAGTTTTCGAACAAACTATAATACTGTATACTTTGGAGAGTTGAACATTATGCTTTACAAGTTATACTATTTGTTTATGTATCTTAACAAAACATAAGGTACAACTTAACAAAATATAGAGAAGATAAGGAGAATGGGGGGCACTTACAGCCTAGTGACCCTATTGTCAGAGTTGCAGGTGACATGAAACCAAGTACAAGGATCAACCAACGTTGGATCCCAACTCTGCAGAACATTATTAGGGTCTCTCACTGCTCTTCTCAGTGCATACAAAGCATCTCCTGCAAATCCCATTTCTCCATTATTATTACTCTACCTAGCTAGCTAGCTTCAAACTATATAAACCAAACACTATTATTATATATTTGTAGGCAATCAAAAACTACTTAATTACATATATACCTTCTGAGTTTGCATCAGCGAGTGGCAAGGAGATGAGGAGAAGAAGATGGAAGAGAATGGTGAAGATCGCCATTGGAGCTTCAGTTTAGAATGAAGAAGAGTTTAAGTGAAGAGGGAATGTATGAGAGAGAGAGAGAGAATTTGAAGCAAATAGGAGGCAAGGAATCAAAGTTTGTCTATAAGCTTTGTTGTTCAATGATATTGAAATTTATAGAGCCAATAAATAAAAGGAACACTCCCCCCCCCCCCCCCCCCCCCCCAAATCCCTTAAGTCCCCACATCCAAGGTACGTGAGATTGACCTAAAAAAACCAAACCCCTTTAAGAAATTTGTTACAATGCTTTTACTCTCATGTCTTTTTAAAGCAAATTGTACATTTGTACAATAATTTGGTTTAATAATATCATGTGTAATATAACGTTGTACCTTGTGTTTAGTAAGTTCAACTTCTAATCAAATATAAGGTAAGGTACAATTTTTTTAAAAAAATAATGTAGTAACTTACGATATTGTAACAGTTTTCTTTTTAAAATGATTAAAAAGGTAATGACATTTTAGTTCTATTGGCCTAGTTAACATTGTGATGTGATAGAAACATATCATATGTACAAAATTACTAAGACATATACTATATTACCTTTTGCACCGACAAACCTATAACAAATTATAACAATACAATTACAGTCTCGTGATAATAGCAACTATATATACTCAACTATGATAATTCTTAAATAAACGGGACTACAAACCCAACCCACAAAAAAATGAGATTAATACACAAACTTTTTTTTTTTAATGCTTTGGATTATACCAAACTTATAAAAGCTCAAACTCAATTTTCTGAATTCAGATATCATTTATCTATGTATCATGACAATGAAACTTTCAATCACTACTTAATGGTATCCATCGGGTAAACTTAATTCTTATGTAATACTTCGTAAATTATACATAAAAAATAAATTGCACTAAGAAAAATCAATGCAATTCAATGAACTTAACTTGACTAAAAATTAAACTAATAATTTTCTGGTATAAAATCATATTTTACATTCAACAATATTATTAAAAAAAAAAAAAAAAAAAAAAAAACTGGAGAGATCGAGGTGGGGTGAACCACAGTCTGAGTGAGAACAGAGAATAATTGTGAGACACCAACAATTGTCGAGATGTTATTGTCAATTTATAACATTGTCAGTATTATATAGAATATTAGAATTTGTATTATATATTTTAAGACAAATATTATAGACAAGGCAACATAACAAAGTCCTTGATATTTACATTTCTATTTCGAAGTTCGTGGTTGTCGGCTCACTGTACCATATACTACTGCCCATTCCCAGTTTATTTCATTTTATTTTTTATTAACAATAATATTAATATATATATATATATATATATATATATATATCCATGAAAACAGATATTGCTGCACTCATTCAGTACAGTATCCTAAGAACATTTATTTATTTCTATATTGAGATTAATGTTGATAGTACTGTTAAAGGATAATTTAAAAAAATAGTTTCATGAGATGTTGTTTGAGATAGTAGTTAGTGCAATTACAAACAGGCGAGTGAGAACATTGTCACAAGTTTAACCTTATTTATTACGACTTTTTTTTTAGTTTAATAATTTCAAAAATGTGAAATTGGAAAATCACTCTAAAGTAATATCATGAAGATTGTTCAATATGAAATAATAGAGAAGAAAGAAGATATTTTTCTAAATAATCAAGGACACCCTTGATGACATGTTGAGGTTGCAATCAACTTTGATATTTTTCTTCTAAAATCATTGAATAATATGAGCATATCATCTCTATTACGTTTCCTTTTAATAAAACAATGAAATTAAAGTGGTTAAAGTGATAAACTGATAATAATATATTTGAATGGTTCGAATACTCTCATCATACCTTCATTCTTTCCATTAGACTTATTCCTCTCGAATAAACCATAACCAAGTCATTTTAGTCTTTATTAGACAATGACTTATTAAGCTTCAGACATGAAATGACATTTGTCAATGAAAATATATATTCTATCATTTGGTCATATTTGTTGAGTCATTAAGTTACTGGTATTTTGTCATATCTAATGAGTCATTGAATTACGGTGTTTTACATCCTTCTAAATGTTTTATCGGGTCGAAATGTGATGGCTTTTGAAATTAAGAATTTAACATTTTGAGAGAAGTAAAAAATGTAATTGGGTGTCATGGAATACCATCTTTTGAGACGGTGGAAGTCTTAATAATAAGAAAAAAAAAAAAGAAATAGATTCCATTTCTCTCAATCAACTAAATTCATAATAGATTGAACATAACCCCATCCAATCAGCTCACTCAACACTCCATGTGACCCAATTAAGACCATATATATATATGTAAGTATAATATATGATGAGCCAACCTGGTACTTTAAATCCCACTGCCAATCCCTCTTTCCTTAAAAGATGTGAAAATTTGATGTTGCAGAAAAGAAAGAAGCACTACCCTAATTCAATCCATTTTTACACAAATCTTCTTCCTTGCTTTACCAGAAGCCATGATTATATTATGGAAAAGATTGGACTATAAGAAATGAAAAGACTTGTTCCATTTGACAAAAATAAATAAATAAATAAAGGGTTTGGATCATCAATACGGACCATCAATTATGCAATCTTGCCACACGAAGTAAATGGAGGATATTTGACCATTGACCCTATGGAGTGCTTCAACCATAGCTAGCTGTTTCCTTGCCCCACTTATCCGGACAACACACTCACTTTGACCATGCAGACACACTCTAATCAAGCTAGCTAGGTTAATATATATTATCAATCTTTTCTATACTTAGTAGGTAATAGAATAGTAACTCGAGTCTGCAGTATATATTTACGATGACGGTTGATATGTCTAACTTATCTCTTTCAAGATGTTCAATTAACTTACGTTTCAGCCTTGAGAATTCGTGAATTGAAGTTCGATCATTACAAATTTGCAACTGTCTTCTATATTCACGTTGTTAACACTAAATGTTAAAAAGTTGTATTTGAATACATGTCTAAATCATATGAGATTTTTTGTAACGACTAATTAAAAGTCAGTCTAGCTAGTCTATAAATACTACCTCAATGTACTGAAAACAAAACAAAATTCACTAATAAACTGAGTACATTATAGTTCTTTGGCTCACCTCGAGTGACCTCATTTTTTCTACATCGTTCTATTAGTATTCATCTTAATTTACATTGTTGTGCTTAAATTACGAATTATATTGAAATCATGAAGAAATAAACACCAACATTGCTAATAATTAAAGAGTAGAGAATAACCATCCTCCATTGAGTATCAAGAACATGTTGTTTTTGAATATTCTCCAAAGTAAAGACACGGAGAATGACATTGTGTGTGTGTGTGTATATAGGGGTGCCAGCTTCACGCGAGACCGAGAGTCCATGAGAGAAATGAGAACTAAACGCATCTGTCCACATGTTCATATCTAATGGATCAAATGTAATTTAAAAAAAAAAAAAACACAATGATATTTTTGTAAATCACTCGAAATTTGGTGCAAGTAACATGTTGTGTTAAAACTTAAAAGTGCAAGTAACTGGTACATGTTATGTGCACTTAATATTGTTGTTCGGTGTATATTATATTCCTGCACTTGTAATGCATTTTACTTGCACTTAAGTGCACTTTACGAAACTGTTACTTCCAATTTTTACACAATTTACTTGAACTTTAATTAAAGTTTGAATTATTTATAAAAATGTCATCACATTTTTTTTTTAATTTTTTTGATCCATTTGATCTGAACAAATAGACGGCTGAGATGGATTTTCGTTCCTCTCCTGGGCAACGAATTTTAAGTGCATTTTAAGGGTGAAAATTGTGGTAAAAAATGTTTAATTTAGTGACATAAATTTGAAATTTTATATTAAAGGTTTTGAGATCAATTTTTTGAAGAAAAAAAAAAAAGAGAAAGGGAAGTGTAATTATGGAGGATCTCAAAAGGATGCAATGCTGGCATGGTCAAATTCAAAAGTGATCTTTTGGTATCAATAATGTATGGTGACCTACCTGTTGCCCAAGATCCCAACATTTTCCCGCTTCACTTCTTCAAATTACAGATTGTAATATACTTCCTCTGATTTAATTAACAACGAGACTTAAGTAGTATTTTGAATTCAATTTTTTTAATATTAAAATTATTATGAACATATAAAATTTATATATTTACAAACTATATTAAAAGTATTATAAAATAGATAAATTTAAATTTAAAAGTAATTAAAAATACTACATAAAATAAGTAAAAAAAAAATTGATTTGACCAATAAAAAATAAATGTGACACGTAAAATGGGACAAAGGGAGTGTGTGTATGAGTGTGTGTGTGTGTATAGGGAAGGTGCTTAGGAGTGCTCTAAATCCTTAATCATTGATGAACTATTATAGGCTGCTGATATCAGTCATTACTTTTTGTATGAGAGGATTGTTCTCATTTAAACTCACTCATATATATGGATTCAAATAAGAACATGATCTTCTTGTAAAAAGTGACAAATTATAACTATATACATATGAAATAGATTAAATCGATCATCACTTTTTATTTAGGAGTCTGATTTTACCTGAACTCTTCTTTTTGTATATATATGCTTGACGGTAAATATGTTACCGGGAATATTGTTATGAGACTAATAAGTGACATTAGTATTTGCTTTGTGTTTCAGTACAGTATATTGGACGTCCTCCCAAGCTGAGGGGAACATCTACTTATACAAGGGTGCTAACGGTAACAACATGGGACATAAATGGGGAGCTAAGCCTTTAATTCTCTCTCATCGATGGTGGCTTCAATGACAATAAAGGTGACACCTGTTGAATTTCTGTCTGTTGAAGTTCTGTCCGTTGGGTTTTCATGTGATGCCGAATCAAATATGGCACCGGGTCAAATGCCCACTTATGATCCGGGTCGGGTGCCAGCCCTATTATCCTGTCAATGCTATAACTTTTTGGGCTTGTATACATGGACTTCCTCAATTTGTTGGTCCGAAAAACAAAACTTGATACTTATGGGCTTGTGCTCGAGCCCTTGAGACATATAATTGGATTGTAAAAGATGCTTGCCCGGAATGTGCCAGCAACCCAGCACTAGTGTTATTGGAAAATGAAAATTTATCTTACATTTTATCTAAAATATTTAAAATATTCTTACAATTACAAAGTATAAGTTCATTACAGTGGGTGATATTGGTTCCACCATTTAGAGGCAACCTTAATTGTTTTTTTTTTTTTTTTTTTTTCCTTCTTCTTTTTCAAATGTAAAAACAAACAAAACAAAATACTTTGATTATGGAGTATTATTTGATACAAAATGAAATCACCAAAATACATTGTTGAAACTGTTTATTCAAATTACTTGGTGGTCCGTCACAATTATATAACATAACATAACAAGGATGACGATAGCGATTTTCATGACCACATTTCACCACCTAATATACTTTTGCGTCTTGGATTATTGTCGTCGTTACAATTCCTATACAACCAAACGCGACTATAATTAGAAAAAGCACTCAACAAATTAAATACTCCGTATGAGTATTATATTTAAAAAAAATCTTTAAATTATAAGTTTCAATCATGAAATTTACACTAACATGCAAATACTTATGCGGGATAAATTTTAAATATATAATACATTTTTAATAAGTTAATAAGTATTACATTTTTACTAAAAATATATTTTTTGTTTCTTCAAACTTTTTAGTGAAAATATAATATGTTTTTAAATGATAAGAAAAATTCGCAATCACTATCCGATAGTGTGTACTATATAAATTACAAGTGTTATCTATTTCACACAAAGAAGTCTCACACTCACACAAATCATCCATATTTTGTATTCAATATAATTGTTGTACTCATGAACATGTAACAAATTACCTGACTTATTTTTGTGGACTGACCCTGCCAAATGATTGTCTGCAACATTCCTGTAATAATAATAATACCAATAGTAATACTAATAATAACAATAATAATTAACAATAACAATAACAATGAAATCAGTAGGTTTTTTTTTTTTTTTTTGAAAGGAATGAAATCAGTAGATTAAAAGTCCACAAATTAAAATTAATTGAACAGAAGAAAAACAAACATTATCTGCAGACTGCCATAAGATATAAGACCCAACACTTCGATGGGTATTATTCCGGACAACTTGTTATTATTCAATCTCCTGCAAATGAATAAAACTTACCTGTGAAATTAAATATAATGTCGAGAATCAAATGAATAAAATTACTAAAGTTAAAGAGATAAAGCTCGATGACTTACAAAAAACGCAAAGATGTTAAGTTGCCAAGACTTGATGGAATTGGACCCGAGAGTTTGTTCATATACAAATCCAAACTCAGAAGCTTATTTAACTTTCCGAATTCCACTGGAATCGCTCCGCTGATGCTATTGTTGTATACTTCCCTGTGAGGAACGCGCGAAATAAAAACTTCATCAAGTCTAATTAAATAGTTTATCGTCTTGATTCATTATTCATAACATGAATTTATTATCTGATCGATTTATGGGGAAAGAGGCTTTGTTGAGGTACTAATTCTAGTATATATGTAGCTGAAAAAAAAAAATGCAGAAGAGCATTGAAGTTCTTACAAGTATTGGAGATTGGATAGGTCTCCCAGCTGAGGTATAAGAGGTCCTGATAGTCCAGCACTCTCAAGATCCCTTAATTAATTGACAACAAATAAATCTCAAATTCCGCTCTTGAATTGTCACACTAGCTATTATATGTTACCAGAACTTTTATACTGACAAACAACACCGGTGTCTTATGTACCATGTATGATCGATCGTATATGTCATTTAAGTAATATCTATCGAGTATTGTCAGACATTAACACAACAAAATATATTATACATGTATGATTGTACCCGATACAAAAGATAACTAACTATACTCACAGTCTAGTCACACTATTTTCGAGATTGCAAGTGACATGAAAATATGTACAAGGATTGACCAGTGTCGGATCCCAGGTCTTGAGCACTCCATTGGGGTCTTTCAGCACAGCTTTCCATGCATTAAGAATGTCCCCTATATATGTATATATGTATGTAAACCACCAAATGAAATACATATAAAAACCACCAATTAAGAGAAGAAGAGTTTTTTGTAAGATTTGAATTGGTTAATTGGTACCTTCAGTGTTGGATGTTGCAGTTATAGCAGTTAAGCAAAGGAGCACAAAGACAAGGCCTCCAAACCTCCCCATCATCCTCCAATACTGATACAAATAATTAATGGTCTTCTACAACCACCTCTTTACACTACTTTTTATATTAACTCTGAGCTCGTTCAATATTTGTTTAATAATTATAATAAACTCAAATCAAATAACCTGGTGTGTGGTTGAGTGAAAGAGACTCAACCATCCTTATAACCAAAACTCAAGGATTCGATCCTTGGTTTTGGGTATGGAGCCACCTTAAATTTCCAGGTCAGCTGTCATACTCAAAAGATCGAGGTGTTTACAATCTAGCGAGAGATTAGTCACTGTGCCCGAAAGTAGAAACCTGGGTATACCCAAAAAAATTCAAATCAAATCTCATCACTCAATAAAATTTTCCTTGTTAGTAGTCAATTAATACGGTGCATTAGAATATTCCTTGGGCTAGAAATGTTGCAGAACACTCGAGTTGACTGACTTGAGAGTGTACTTTGATTAGTCAAGTCCTCTGATATTTTTGGTACGAGAGGAAAATTTTTAGAATTGGAGTATAAAATGAGATATAAATTAACCTAAATGGGTAGTCCGAGTGGGTGTAGTATAATTCTCTTATCAAAATATTAAGCCCATTGTATAGAGTCTTTCTAATACGATTTACCTCTTATGTATAATTTGTGGAAGTCTTTCTAGTACGATTTACTTCTCATGTATAGTTTGTGGACTATTACACTGGAGCAGTGTATATAATAATGGTTGATGTTTTGAATTAGTTGGTGTAATTGGTTATGGTAAATTAAGGCTGCTGTAGAAACTGGGAATAAACTAAGATGTTCAATTAATCTTATGGGCGTTTTAATTAATGATTCCATATTGAATAATCGGGAAGATTTTAATTAATTAATTCATGCTTTGAATTGAATTAGAGTCATATGATACCTTGCACACAAGTAAGGTCTCAGAAATTATAAAAGTCTTGGTCAAATTAAAACATGAATGCATTCAAAGTATTTTAGGGGAGGTGGAGAAATAGATAATGTAGCATCAATCAAGGACGATGTTAGAATTTTTTTTCTCTTTGAAAAAGAAAAATTAGACAAAAAAAATATTGATTTTTTTTTTTAATACTACTGACTCTATTACAGTGTAGTATCTGTAACTATTATTGATCCTAATTTTTTTTTTTGTTTTTGAAAGGATTATAGATCCTAACTTAAAACATGTTGTTTGCATGTTTTCCAAACACTTACTAAGAACATATATATCTAACATGGATCAGAACCGAAGCTTAAAGAAGATTATGTTTGGTATACAAAAAGCCGCCGCGAATCGGCCATCCAACTTCATCGTCATCCTCCTTGGCGACAGGCTTATTCAGAACACAGTAACCCTTGGTCGTGGAACAAGAGCTACCATTCATAAGCCCTGTATCTCTTCTCTCATGTCTTTCCATTTCCATTTCAGCTCTCCTCCTCAGATTCTGCCTCCTTATCAAGTAATCCCCACCGTTCACCGTCGGCCGTTCCCTGTCAGGCCGCCTAGCGCAGCGGAGCGGCACCGGCAAGGCGTCCAGCCCCATCAGCTTAGCCACCACGCCGGGCTTACACCATATCACCCTCTCCCCGCCGATCTTGCTCGGCAGATACCGGCTTCTCTCCACGGCGGCGGCGGCGTCTTGGTTCCGGAATGAGGATCTGTACATGGCGTCTTTGCCGTCGAGGGAGAACCGGGGGTACTGGTTCAGCGCGTTCCGGGCGGTTCGGAGGATGTCGGAGCTGTTAACGCACGACATGCGGTGTCTGATGATGGGGTCTCCGCCGCCGCGGCGGTCGTCGTCGAGCTTCCCTCTCCGCCGCGCCGCCGCCATCTTCTCCTCCATGTCTAGCTGGAACAGCATTTCCTCTAAGGTAGTGGGCTGGTGGCAGCTGTCCATCATCTCACTCTCCTCCGCCTGCGACGGCCGCCTGGCGGCGGCAACCTCGGACGACATGTCGGAGGAGAAGCGGCGGTGGGTGTCGGAGCTTTGCTGGTTGAGGGTGGAGGTGGAGGCGTCGCCGTTGCAGAAGTTTCTGAACCCTCTTCTCATCTTGGCCCCGAAGGAGTTCTTGAGGAGGAAGAATGACATGTCTTTCATGGTTTCAACACAGATATTTGGGTCTCAAGAAACCATGTTAATTAAGGTCTGATCTATTGTGTGATGGCCGGGGAATTGAAGAAGGTTTGTAATAGAGCGGTGTGAGTCTTTCATTGATGAGACTTCAAAGCAATCACATGAAAGGGGAAGAGTTTCACATGATTAATGTTGCACTGCTTTCATGGATGACACTAAACACCTCAAAACCTTAAACACTCATCAATCAAACTAATTAATTTAATTGCTAATTACAAGATTCCAAGTTTAATTCTTAGTGAGAACGACCTATTGGCCTTCTTAGTTTGAGCAAGTCAGCTATGAGCAACTAAATTGGTTTACCCTCTTGTGTTCCATTGCTGACTAGAACCACAAGTCGAGATTTACTTAGTGCACGCCAAACTGACCTGTGCTCAAACCAAAAAGGTCAATAGACCATTTCCACTGAGAGTTGAACTCACCTTGTGATCCTTTGTAAAGTAGGATCACAAGACGAGATTTATCCAGTGCACACTCACTGCTGGAAATTATGAAATTTCCGACCATCTGAAAGTGATCTTAAATCAAGTCGAAAGCAAAATGTGATCGGAAATAGCAACAAAGATTTTTCAGGATACCAAAAGTGGTAGGAACAAGGTTTTTGACTTGATTTAAGATAACTTTCAGATGGTCAGAAATTCCATAATTTCCAGCAGTGACTCTCGAGTGGTGGCTGCGAGTTTCTCTCCATACTAAAAAAAAAAAAAAAAAAAAAAAAGGTTACATTGTTAGATCATACCATGATTGTTCAACCTGAAGTTGAGTGGGTGCAGGTTCCCTCTTCAAGCTCTACAACAGCTGACAATGAATGATTAAAGCAAGCTGTGTGATTTAGCTGGCCAGAAAACCACTAGGAAAAAGAATACAAAGGACACAAGGAAGAGCACATGGGGAGTGATATAATAATAATCATCATAATCATAATAATAATAATAATAATAATAATTGGTATGATATAAGAGCCTACAAAAGATTACAATTATAAGCAGACAGCAGTAAAGAAATATTTACAAACATCGAAAAGGATTACAAGATTTAAGACGAGTCATGGAGTACATAAAACACGACGAATCATCCATCGGGAGCTTCAGCAGCCTTCACAAATCGACCCTTGACCCGCTTCCTGGTATCAGCTCTCGCTTTTCTTGATTCGTATCGGATGTGTTTGTCATATCTAGAACAATAGTAACTAACATGTTCAGATATGGCATTGGACAAGTTCTTCTTGTAAAGGAGGATGTCAATAACAAGAAAAAGCAAAGATGCTTAAAGGGCAAAGATTAGGTAATATCTACCTCCTTGTCTTCCTCTTCTCCTTGTACCGTAGCATTGCATTTCCTCTGTTTTTCACGAGCATCTCCATATCGGCTTTTGTCATTGATGGTGTTGCGCTTTCGCTGTCCACTAAGATTGTCTGGTCCATAAAATGAATGTCTTTTGAGTGGCATTTCGGTTTAGAGTAACCCGAAACCAAAGGAGGCTGTAATCTTGGTATGTTGTTGCTCTCCGATGTAGCTGGCCCTTGGCTTGCTGTTGGGTTATTAGAAACGTTCTGCACGCCACAAAAACACGACTGTTAGATCAAGAGTTTATCACTACGCCAAAAGTTATAGCTGGTAGCAAGGTTGAAAAAATCGCTAGGCGCCCTCTAGGTGCCTAGGGATCGCCTAGGGCGCCTATAGCGATTAATCGGCACCTAGAGCGCCTAGGTGGCCGACTGCCTAGCGCCTAGGCGCGATTTTTGCAACATTGGCTGGTAGTGAAAGACTGAAAGCGCAACTTTATTTCCTTATACTTGCGTAACAATCAGCACCACGTTTTCATGACAGGATGCTGGACCCAACAACAACACTTGACACCTTGAGGACAAGATGCTACCGCCCAAGTATTTAAAACATTAAATACTATGATAAAACCTATGGAAACATTCGTTTTGCTAGATTAATTGATCAATCTTAACGCCATAGTTATCATTTCAACCTAAAGCATTGGGGATTTGATGTGCTACAATTTAGTTTGCGGGGAAGATAACGAACATGAAAAGACTTACACCGAAAGCTGCTAGGTCCTCATGAGTGACTGAGAAGTTCATTCGAGAGAGTTCTGATCCCTTCGGGTTTGCCAAGGATGCTTCTTTTAGGAGTTCACTATAGCTTTTCATCATATACGCCACATCATTCGCACCATAGCCCACTTCTATCGGGCTAGATTCATCATGGTCCCTCAACTGCCCGAGGTTAAAATCCCATATCTACAAAAGCGGCAAATAAGTTTGTCAGAGGATGCAATCAATCAAATTCCAGAGAATATTACTGGAGCAAGCAAAAGGTGGAACAAAGCACAAACAGAAAAAGAAAAGGGTGGAGAGTCGGGTCCCTAAGTCCCTTTGTGTTTTCTTAAGCCATTTGTTTATCACATTACACATCAAATTAAAGCGTAAAAACGCCCACCCCACTTCCTCTTGAAAACCTATAAAAGCAAAAGGCTTTGTGAGAGTGAAGAAGACACTTCACTTAGCTTCATTAACTTTTTTTTCCATCACTGCTCACTGCATCTTAGTGATCGAAAAAAGGCTTCGGGGGGAATCCTTGCAAAATAAGGCACTATATGCCCATAAAGAACATCCACCATAATCATAAAAGTCGTTTCCAACAATTATTCTGTAACTTTCATCAACCACATTAAGCCAATTGGACAAGACTATGCAAAGTCAGAAACACCGCAATGTGGTACGAACATATGACATCCCAATCAGTAGTACAGAACTACCCTAAAATAAAAAAAGTCATTTTTCCTTTGTTTCCATTGTCATGGATCTTCATGAAAAAATCTACTGACAGAAATATGGGAAACTAAACATTTTCACCAAGTCTTGAAGAGCTGATCAAATAGCAGTAGTAGCACCTAAATGGATAAAATTATATGGATTGAACCTACACAGATTACCAGGAGGTTTGGTGGATATATATGCTCAACCTTAAAGACATCAAATGATATCTGACAACCTTAAACCCCCACACAGATTACCTGACAACCTTAAAGACATCAAATTTTTTGCTAACATGTTTCAATATATTCTAGAAAGTGTTGGGAACTTAGGATCAAGCCTTTCCAAACAATAAGATTGCAAGAATGCTAAGAATATAGAGTTTAAGGAGCTGAGAAAGAAAACCTGAGGACTGCGATCACGAGAGGCGTTGTTCCATAACATGTTCCCTTCGACCATCCGATCATTTTCTTTCATGGGAGTCTGCATCATAAGCAAGGAAGTAAAGGGCACATTTTGAGGTTGTTGTTGTTCTGGTTGGAAGTGGTGGTTTAGCGCCGCCGCAGCCCCATCGCCGCCGTCCGCCGCATTCCCCTGCCAACCACTGCCGCCCCCATTTGGCGTTCTTGGCACAATATCCTCTCCTCCGGCGGCGGCGCCGCCGTCCAGCGCTTCCCGCTTAAACAGCTCCACCAGTTGTTTTAGTATCACCGGTTTGTTCTTCCCGCAGCTCGGGGTCTGCTTCTTGCTGGGCTCACAGCCGCCGGCCGGATTGGAATATACCACCGGGTTGTTACTAGGGACCATTAAGTCTTGTAACAGAACTGAAGGGGAGATTTCTTTGGGCATCCAGGGGTCCAGCAACCCGGTCCAGGTGGGATTCGGACCCGGCAATTGATTCGATTTTTTCTCCTCAATTTCCAACCCCCAAATGCCGGCGAGCTCCGCCGCGACCGGGCAGCCGGAGAACGCCTCCACGGGGCTCCGATCGTGCGCGGCGGAGACGGCGCAGCTAGCGTGGGCGTCCCAATCGCATTCCTGACACAGGACGAGATTCTCGCTGGAACACCGGACGGCGACCGGCTCCGCGCCGCAGTTGTCGCAGATCTGCGACCGGAGATGCTTCCGGGACAGCGCGTTGGCGGCGTGCACGTGCTGGTCGCAGAAGAGGCAGAGCTTAGCGGCGTCGGCTCGGCAGAAGAGCACAGCCGGCTGGTCGTTACAGAAATCACAAGGAACGGTCTTCCCCCTGCCGGATTTCGAGCCGGCGCCCACCATTTCAGCTCCAACTCCGTCGGAGCTGGGATGAGTACTCGCTTCCATTCTGCCCTAAATGTAAACAAGATTAAAGACTCTTCCTTTTTCAAGAAAATGAGATAACTACAAGGAGGGTTCAAGTGTTTGTCACTCCATGCTAGCCCCCATACGCAATTTCCACTTCGATTATGATTTATGGGAGCTTTGCTTTGGAAAGGCCCAGACCATTTAATTCATTGCTTCTTCTTCTTCTTCTTTGATTATGATATATGGGACTCTTACTGTTACTTAACTTTCACTCCTTTCTTTTTTTTTTTTTCTCCCAATACTAAGATTAAAGTGATTAGATTTAAAACAATGAACCTAAATACTAATTATCAACAACTCCAGTTAAATTGGTCAAGTCTTTTATCAACAAAAATTAAATACATTACGTGCACACTCTCAAATACTGATTGTAAATTTTCTTTATCACTCAAATGTCAATTAAATCGAACTTTGTTTTTTATTACTCTATCAACTCTACCTGACCAAATTCGAATGAATCTCACAAGTGATGAGGACAACGAATGCTATATGAAGTAATTTCTCAAAAACTTGTTAAAACTCTACCCAACACACGTCTTATATTAAAGTTTGGTAGATGCATAATTTAAGTTTGAAAATCAAAAAACTGTTCAAAATAGCGTTTTCGATCAAATTTTTTATAAAGTCATTTCGCACGTAATCAACTATCAGCTAACAGTTAATTTATCAAATATTTTTCTATAATCAACTAATGTTATCAACTAGTTAAACTCACTAACTCATCAACTAACAACTATAAGTTATTTACCAAAACACCCCATAATAATTTCAATCACTCAAAAACGAAGCAAGATAAGCCAATATATAATAGTGTATATTACTCAATAATAATGAAGGTACTATATCCAGTGCATGCAGCACATATAAGTCACAACCTGTACTATGTGGAGTATTCCATTGGCCCATTGGGAAATTTTAAAAATGTATTAATAAATTGATTATGTGACTAATAATAATTGGTATTGATCATTATCGGTATAAGATAATCAAGAGTAAATACCCAAAATAGTCCTTTGACTATAGCTAAATTCACAAATTAGTCATCGATTTTCAATTTCAACCAATTAAGTCCTTAACTTTGTAAATTTAACACAATATGGTCCTCTGTCTATTTGACCGTTTGTTGACTGTGATTTTTGATGATATATATGTAATTTCATGGTCCATCGTCGGTTTTTTAAGGTTCTGGTTGCATTTCCAGACCGCACTGTTACATTTGAATCCACTGTCGAAAGCAATCTATCAAATCTGGTCGTCTTTCTTCATCCTCCCTTTGAATTCAATGTAGTTAAGTTCGAACCAGAGCGAAGAAGACGACGTGTTTCCGAATCAGTGCAACGTCATCCTGGAGGCCTCCACGTGCTCCGACGAGAGCTGAAGGATCTTCTGGAGATCGTCGATCACGGTCAACAAACAGTCAAATAGATGGAGGACCAAATCGTGTCAAAATTACAAAGTTAAGGACTTAATTTGGTGAAATTGAAAGTCGATGACCAATTTGTAAATTTACCTATAGTCGAAGGATCATTTTGGATATTTACTCGATAATCAATTAAAAAACAAAAAAAAAAATTATATATTATACCAGCCCTCATATTTTATGGGATGAGATTAATCCACATAACTCAAATCTTAATGGGTAATTACAAATAATTATGAGATTTTATACCTATTTTGTTTCTAAAAATAATTTTGTATTTATATTCTGACATGTTGATTAAAATGCAGTCCCATGTATTCAATGTTCATCAAGATTTTCGATACAAACCGAATCTCGTATCATTTAGTCGTGATTCGTAAGTTATTTGATTTCATTATTTAATAATTAAGTCATTTTATATGTTTACACTTATAGTTAATTAATTAATTATACACGTAGTAGCAAAAGAAAAACAATAAATCTCTCCTTTAAAAAAAAAAAAAAAAAATCCTAGTGACTCTATTATAAGGTAGTATATGTTCTATATTTTCTCTAATTAATACAGTCAATACCCCACAACGTGATTTGATCCTGTGACTTTCCCTCAATAGGAGTCACAAAAGTGCCATCTGAACACAAGATGTTTGACAATAATCTCTTTTTTATGCAGTACAAATTTGATTTAACGTGGTCTATTTCATATACTCCGTAGTAATCCTTTGATTAAATACTTCGTATTTAGTAATCACACAAACATATATAAAGTTGTCTTAAATAAGACAGATTTGAACCACATGATCTTGTGGTCTAGTGGCATCAATTTGTTCTCTTATAGGGGGGTTATGGGTTTGAGCCTCTGTGAAGATGGTATTGATTTTTTGTGTTTTAGTAAGTTGAGAAAATATACTTCATAATACTTTTTTATAGATAACGCCAAAATTCAAAAAGCTCAATCCTCAAAGCAACTTTTACAACCTGCTTTTTGAGAAAGTCATTTGCATGTAATCAGCTAACAGCTAGTATACCAAACATCTTTTTAATTACAATCAATTAATACTATCAACTTGTCAAACTCACTATTTTAATCAACTAACAGCTATTTATAAAACACCCCAAATATGTTTTTGTTGATAATTAGAGTAGGTTTAGGAAGAGAAGGAAGTGTATGGGTGTGGGTGGGGGCCAGGCTAGAAAATATCTTTCGCTTTTTAGCTGAGCTGGCAAGCAGACATGTTTTAATATGTTTACACTCATCTAACCTGGTAGTTAAGCATGTATTGTACAGCCACTTTTGACGTACAGGGAATTAATGCATAATGGTACGCAATCACAATCACAATCCACATGTTTATGTCACCAAACAAATGGGAAAATTCAACAAAATTACGTATTTTTCATCCCTTCTCTCCCATTTATGAAAAAATATATTGGCATTATTTAAAGATATACTTTAGAGTAAAATTACCCGTATTGTAATTCTAATTAATAAAATACTATAAAAAGATAAACCAGTTAAGTTATTTATAACTAATTAACTTAGATTAAAAAGACCAACAGACAACCATTACATAAAAAAGTTAAAACTTAAAATTATTAATTAAGAAATCAACTGTAGATCCTATCTTTTCTTTCCCCCTACAAGACATGACACTAACTTGTTTTCTCGCTACACCACTTACACATGCAATATTTGTGTACCCACAAAATTTTGTCCATTTCGCATAATAAAATTACTATGAAATACTTCCCCTTTTAACCGATTTCTTTTCCCCCATTAAAATGGAAAGTTTTTATATTTTAGCGAGAATTAAACTTGTGATCTGTTGATACAATATTACCAACTTAATTGTCCTTAGCTTACTTATAGTTATAGATTGAGTTAATTCTATTTTTTGTCATAGATGTATATGTGATAGTACAATTTTAATCTTTTTTTTTCAAAACATCCTTTTTAATTCTAGTATTATTGTGACATGATCATTTTTTGTCTTTCGTCAATAAAATTGTTGAAATATTGTTAAATACAATGACATTTTGATCTTTTTTTTATACAATGTGGGTTGACCCGCTATATATTTGTTTTTGAAAAAAATCATAATTAAATACCTAAATGCCCTTGTATTTTACGGAATTTAAACAATTTTGTTTATGGATGATAAAACATGGTCATGCCACAATAATACTATGACCAAATAGAGATGTTATGAAAAAAAAGGACTAAGTTTATTGCCACCTATAAATCTAAGACAAAAAAACACTACTGAAAATTATGGAATTTCCGACCACCTGAAAGTGATCTTAAATTAAGTCGAAAGCCTTGTTCCGACCACTTTTGGTGTCCGGAAAAACTATTGTTGCTATTTCCGATCACTTTTTGGTTTCTACTTGATTTAAGATCACTTTCAGGTGATCAGAAATTCAATAATTTCCAGCAGTGAAATATAATTAACTCTTATAAATTTATTATTACTAGTTACCACACGCACATTGCGCGGATAGTTCAATGGCCAATGTGTATTTTTAAATTAGTGTTTCATAATTTATCAAAGTATCATTCAATATCTTGGCGTATATCAATGCAAAATTATCAAATTTTCTATAAAAGTAAATATTTCAAAATTATACAACATAATTTTATTGATGGAGGACCAAAAAATAGTCATGTCACAATAATTAAAGAGATAAACACCCATGTATTTTACAGAATTTAAACAATTTTATTGATGGAGGACCAAAAATAGTCATGTCACAATAATACTAAGATCAAATAAAGATGTTTTGGAAAAAAAAAAGGTCTAAAAGTTTATTACCACCTATATATAAATCTAGGACCAAAAATAGAATTATATCTCTTATAAATTTAAGGCGTGTTAAAAATTAGTTGTTTGGTTTTCTGAACATCATTTCAAAGATCTTTTATCATTTGAAAAGTCATAGGATTTTATCTATAATCATATGATGAGAGATAGTAACATTTGATTTGGCTCTACCAACAACCCTGGCCTATCACGTCTTTCATCATCTTGTTTTATAAATTTTAGAGGAATTATATATATATATATATATATATATATATATATATATAAATCAAAGACAACAAGATCATCATGTCAAAAGTGATGATTAATCTCAACCGTCTATAAATGTTCATCAAAGGTCAAAAGTTTTAATGAAAATGACATGTGATCAATTTTATAATTATTAAAAAATTTTTAAAAACATAGTTCATTTTTTTTTAATAATAATTATATAATTAATTTTGTATTTTTTTTTTTACTAAGATCCTCAACTATTAATGAGTTCTAATGAATGATTGTGATAAATCTTTAGTTTTTACAGAATGACCAGCATATTCTCATTTCAACACTTATTATACGTTTCAAAAATTAGGTACTTAATAATTTATTTTGGGATTTTTGGAGATAAAGACACAAATCATTGTGAACGTCATGATGAACATTACTCCAAGAACTGTCGTACTTGGTTAACATCTATAATCATAATTTAATGATAAGGAATACGCCGTATGTTGTCATATATTTCGTAATAAATTTAAATTTGAATTTCAATAATTTTTCATCTTTATCTATACATCTTGTCATATTATTATTATTATTATTATTATTATTATTATTATTATTATTATTATTATTATTATTATTATTATAAAACATGTAAAAGATGAGAGTAAACCTACCTCATCTTCCATTAATCTGTACGGTACGTTTTTTCTAAT